ACTTATGCACCTGCCCGCTGTAGTTCTGCAGCTACCAACGACGCTTTTTACCACGAACGTAACGCGTTCTTTCCCAGTGTTACTGTTTTTTATATCATTATACTCGCAGTGAGTATATGTATGTTCAAATAGTAGTCCGTCTGAGTCCCTCCGAAACTCATTTGGGCGAGACTTTCAGGTCAAACTTCGAACATGCGAAAAATAGTGAGCGCTTGTTTCATTTATGCGTCGTTTCTTTGATGCACATCTCTCACGCACAGTGGACGCCGATGTTCCACTTGGCTTGCAATGAGTCCGAATAGAGCACAGCGCTGTTAGCTTCATTGTACACGATTCAATCCTCGACTGCGGCACCTGTTGGAACGCGTGCACCGATTTCGCAGGTGGTCTTTCTTATTGGGAACCACAGCAAAGGATTCTGTCGACAAGAAACGATGAATGTTGTCTTAACTCTACCACGAAACTTTTCGTATTATGTTTCTACCTAATTTGTCCTGAGTACAGTTCAATGCAGTTCATTTAACTTCATCAGCTACTAGCCGATCACCAAAATGCGGTGTCTCCAGTTATCCTGACTGGTTTCACCACGATAACATTACTTTGGCATGGTGAGGATAATGAAGCACAACACAAGAGAGTTGTGGAAATTGACTAACCATCTCACATTATATACACGAAGATATTGATCATTGCTTGAGAGCGTTACTCACTCTAGTGGGGACACAAAGTGGACGATACTGGAGCCTACCAGTTGGTTTTTGGACAAAATTAATCCGGCGCAAGAATGTGTGCTTAAATGTTTCGGAAAACTGGTAGCTCGCGTCATTGATTCGGTCCATCGTTCGTTCGCCGAGCTTGGAGATTTGTTTGCAAACGTTTCACCACCATGCGAGGTGGCATCATCAGTGCGCTGAGATGCAGAGTGTAATCTCGCTGATTGAATTGTCGATCCGTGATCGGCGAGCAGGTGACTTTTTGAAAGTGACGGTTCGATCTGCGCCTCATGATCTCTACCCACTTTCCCCGTGGCGGAAGTCGTCGCTCGAGTTGTTCCTATTTAAGCGGCGTCTTGTAATTTCTCTAAGTGAACCGAGGTCTCAATTGAGGTTGCGGGTTCCTCAAATTTAACTTTGTATTCTGTTTGTTTGTTAGCTGCGAGGTTGGATCGGTGTCGATGCACTTGTAGGTCGTTGTTTCGTTCAAGAGACGTAAAGCTTTCTCAGTGTAATCCGCTTTATCCTTTATAACAGTCATCAGTCCCTTGTCTGGCGGCAGGATGATGATCGTTTCGTCAGACTTGAAGGTTTTTATTGCCTCCTTTTTTTCTGCTCAGGGTATTGTATTGCCTGTTGCGCATTTATAGCTGGAACAATTGTGTATCTTATTTGATTTTGAGTCTCTTCACCAACTCCGTTGGATTGTAGGGGGCTTTCGAATGTTGCCAGAAAGTTTGTAGTTGCTGCGTATCTGAAGTTATCGTTTAGTCTTTTGATGAGGACTTGCTGTTCAGATTCGTTCGTTTGTCGGTTAGTCAAGTTTCTGATCCAGCTATCACTCCTACCTCTGTCTTTAGCATAGGTCAGTTTCGATAACTTATCGAGAAGTGCAGTATGCTTCTTTGTTCTAGCGTTTGTTGCTTGACGTTATATTCCAGCGTCAAATTGTTCTGTTAGTTGTTGTCCAATAATTTGATAACCGATAAATCGATGTTCGTCCAGACATCATTCATATTTCTTGAGGCAAATGTGAGCGTCGGTGATCATTAGTCGTATCATACGCCTGCCAAATTGCCGACCGGCTGCCCACGCTTGTGGATGATCATTCGGCGGTTTGTAGCTAATACTGCGGAGAAGAATGTCCCTTCTCAGGCATTCATGAAGGAAGAAGAGCTGTTACCTTGTAGAGGCTTGCCTGCAAGCGAATTCCTCCCAACGGCTAGCAGTGCGGAGCGTTGAATGCCAGTGATTATTTGAAATGTTTCAGAAACCTGGTAGCTCGGATTTATAATTCAGTTGCTCATTCGTTCTCCGAGCTGGGAAATTTCTTCGCAAACGTTTCACCATTATGCGAGGCAGCATCATCAATGCTTTGAGATGTGGAGTGTAATCTCTCTGATTGAATTGTCAATTCGTGATCGGCGTGCAGGTGACCTTTCGAAAGTGACGGCTTCGATCTATGTCTCGTGATCTCTATCCAATTTCCCCTTGGCGGAAGTCATCGCTTGGGTTGTTCCTATTCAAGCGGCAACTCGTAATCTCTCCAAGTTCTTTCCGTCGAAGGGGCTGGTAAACTGGGTCAATGTTGTTATGCATGTTGATTGAGTTTTTTGTTGAGAACCACGCTTCCTGGAACTCTTTCTCTTTTTGTTTCGCCTCGTGCCAGGACTTCCGTTTTGGCCCAATCAAAGCTGTGTTCTTTTTCGTCCACGTATGCTGAGACTAACGATGATGCATAGTGCCTTTTGCACACTCTTTTGTGCTCTTGTATTTGTGTTGCTAATTTTTTCTCTGTTTGGCCAACATAGTCCATTTCACAATTTCTGCAACGAAGTCTATATACAACAACGTTGTCCATGTGCTTGCAGTTTTCCTTTTAGTTTTGGCAGAGTTTTCCTCAACGTGGCAATTGGTTTGTGTGCTACGATAAGGTGATGCTGTTTGAATAGTCTTGCCGCCATTTCGGATATGTTCTTCACATAAGACAAAACAACTCTCTCTCCGTCGTTAGTGTAAACTGCCTGTTTTCGTTGTTGTGATTCAGACACTTCCGGATGAAGCTTCGCGGGTATTCTTTGAGTTGGAGACGTTTAACTAGAGCTTAGATAAATTGCAAGACGCCGCTTAATTAGGAAAAACTCGAGCGACGACTTCCGCCAAGGGGAAATTGGGTAGAGATCATGAGGCGCAGATCGAACCGTCACTTTCAAAAAGTCACCTGCTCGTCGATCACGGATCGACAATTCAGTCAGCGATATTACACTCTGCATCCCAGCGCACCGATGATGCCACCTCGCATGGTGGTGAAACGTTTGCGAACAAATTTCCAAGCTCGGCGAATGAATGATGTACTGAATCAACAACGCGAGGTGCCAGTTTTCCGGAACATTTGAGAACACATTCTTGCGCCTGATTACTTTTTTCCAAAAACTAACTGGTAGGCTCCAGTATCGTTCACTCTGTATCCCCACTAGAGTGAGCAATGATCAATCTGTTCGTGTATACGATGTGAGATGGTTATGTATTCAGTCGATGCAGTAACGCCGGTCGAATCGCACTGTTGCAAACTCTACCTTTGACATGTGATATCCCGGTGCCTTCATTGATGACTTGAACTTCGAAAAGTCACGTCGCTTTTGCTGTTGCATGTAATGGCCTTCATATTGCTTTGTTTACCTGAGGTGACAGAAATACCAAGTTACATGAACTAATCAACCACTCAGCGTCTGTTTTACAATGGCTCTAACCGACGCGGTATCGGTCCAGTCCTGCAACAGTACATTGCAATTTGAAGGTGTATGGCACATGCTAAGGCGTGCAGCGCTACGCACCTGCATATTCAGTAGCACCTGCATAGTCAATAATAATAATAATAATAATAATAATAATAATAATAATAACTTGTCAGCTGTCCGCTGTAACGGCGCCTCGCTGCCGCGCGACCACCACTGGTCGCGCGTTGGCTGAGTATACCGCGAGGACGTCTGCGCCTACGCGGATTCGAACCGGTGACCTTATGATTGCAAGCCAAGCCTGCAGATCACTCGGCCACCGGCCGACTGCATGGTTACTGGGCTCTCGAATGGCTATGTCGTCTACATACTCAGGGTTTGCCAGTTGGTAATCTCATAGCATTTCCATTCAGTTAGAACTTTGGAGAACGGAGTTATTTATGATCACTTCAGTCAACTTTTAAGGAGGAAAGGAGTTCAGGATAACCCGGTGCACTGCACTCCACTTACGCTGGGAGACTCAGGGAACAACTTCCTGCAGACGGACTCTGCATTGGGTGTCGCTGTAAGGAAACTGATGTGGAAATGCGTTCTCCTAATACGCCCTTTACGGATAAGCAGTACCATAGTTTGGCACAGTCTGCGGTGCGGAAGGTGATTTTCAACGAAGGCTGTCACAGTCTGTCGTCTGCATGTATGTCGCTGTTCCAACACTTGACGTAGAGTAATTATGTGATCTATGGATTCTCGATGTGAGCGGGAGCCATCCTGCTTTTCATTGATTTGGCTCTCTTGTGGATCGCTGTCGAATGATGTATCTAAGGTTTGGAGGTAATGAAAGTAAGGTTATGCCTGGGTAACTTTCATACAACTTTGTGATTCTTTGCTGAGGTGGTTTACGATTACAAACCGCCACTTTGAAGACAACCCTTCAGTCTCCCACATAGGGTTGAGTATGGCGGATAGACAAACCACCAATGAGTCATATCCATCATTAATCATCCACCTTGTCTCCTCACCATAGTCGCCTGTTTGTGACTGTGTGTTAACAAAGTGTAGACATCTTGACCCTAAATGTTTGCACGGGGCACTTAGGTTTCCACAAAATCCCAATTCTCCACCTGTAATCTATTCTCAGGTCATTAGTTTTCCGATAGCGAATCATCGGTACAACTTATTACTGTACGGCTGTTGATGTTGATGATGGGATACAATTCTGATTATAGGGATATGAATACACATTCAGAGTGTCTAATCACCTGGAAAGCCTATTAATATGACATGTTCGGGCTTACTTCTGGTAACACGGATACTGGTGGTTGTATGTGCTTGGGCTTTGTTTGCCCCCTCTATCATTTGCCAACCACCCATATAACTTCACACCTGATGTTTGGGGATGTTAATTCTGTTATCTTTGGGCTTACTCCTTATCCACTTCTCCGATTGTCTGAACTTTCTGTTGTCTGATGACTAACTTGACTCTGCATCAGACAAGTTTTGGTAGCAGTAGAAATGGTGATCCATTACCCTTTTTGCTCCTTTTTATCCACAGACAGGAGAATGGAAACTTGAGTCTCTGCGACATCGAAACAGGTTCGTGGAGCAGTATTGTGAGTCTCTGCTTTTTCTCCTTTAAACTCCGAGTTCTTACTTTTTGCTCATCTAGAACAGCTAATTCATTTGTTGCCACTCAACTCATTTAAGTTTGGCTTCGTCTCCAGATAATAATGCGAAGCCCGCCTGCATAGGCATAACCACAGTCACCACAAAGTCTAGCGACTTTTTAGACATGCTACGTTCATGTGCCGGCTCATAGCCTAAAGATAACGAGCTTGACTTGTAATCTGACGGCGCGGGTTCGAGCCTGCGTAGGAACAGAGCGACCCTCGCAGTATCCTTAGTCCACGTGCGACCGGCGATGGTTTCACAGCAGCGAAGCGTCGCTACGGCGTACTACTGATGCCTTACGGTCACGTGACGATCAGCGATCCTGCGTTCCGTCCCTTGTTTCCAATAATCACCTTTTCCGTTCGGCGAATGTGATGCTGTAACCGACCGTTCTGTTCCATTTGCTTTTGTTCGCGGATCTGTTCTTCGGTATTCCTAATAATAATAATAATCGTAATAATGTGTCAGCTGTACGCCGTAACGGTGCTCCACTGCCGAGCGACCGCCAGCAGTTGAGCGCGGGCTGCGTATACCGCGAGGACGCTAAGCCCTACGCGGATTCGAACCGGTGACCTTATGGTTGCAAAGCAAACGTGCGGACCACTCGACCACCGGCCGGTATTCCTACTATTCATACAATTGTCACCATTAATGCTATTATGATTTGATATATGGTGTTGGAGTCCATCACACATTGGGACCTGCATCGTGCCTATTTTGCGGAATCAACACGCTCTTATTATTTTACTTGCGAGATCGACCAGTTATCATTATGCATCACTGTGCTAGGAGATGGCTACCAACGGAGTGGAACTTTGGCCGCCACTGAGTATCCGGGTGGCTAACCACATCATTTGTAAACCAACTTTCAATAAAATCGGTCTGCATGTCGATTAGACTCTACGGCCGAAATAAGATTTTCACCCAAAAAACAGCTTTTCGGTCCGCTCTGGCCCCCATTGTTGATCCCATGCTAAGCATCAGCAGCACGCTGGTACCGATGGTTCGGTAGGACGTGATCATCAGCAGTCCCGTACGAGCTAGGGATACTGCACGGGCTCGAACCTGTGGCCTTTGGATTGCACACCGGACGCTTGAACCACTTCCCCCCCCTAGTCGGCAGTTCTCTCTGTGTGCCCCAACCTGACAGAGACAGAATACACCCAATATTCCCTCTGTTTTTACGCACTTCGTCTCACCTTTTTCCTTTCCATGCCGCGACCGGTATGTTTCTGTCGTGATTTTTGTTTCACGCAACCTTTTACAAGCCATATTTCACTCCGTTTTCATGAGGTTTTCAGACGTGTGCGTGGAATCGCAAGTTCAATGTCTTACGACATGGTCGGTTCCTCTTAGTTCTCAGCTTTCTGCATATTTTTGTATGAGAGCTTCCATTGACATTGTCATCCGTTCGAGTAGCACGGACGCTTCTTTTACCTCCACTTTACCAGTAGTGATCTAGGCCTCCATCCACTCATCTCTTCGAACTACACCTGTCTGTTGACCTGTACGAGGAGGTCCAGGTTAGTATTCGATACTACCTATTTGAGCCCGTCACACGAATGGGCTCATCGCTATCATAATACTTTAAGCTCTTACCTGAATTTGGGTGTCATGGCCTATATGTTGCAGTTACCTGAGGGTTGTCATGTTTCCACACAAGGTGTTAGCTAAAGCCCTTGTCATTGCATGACCGCAACGCGGTCGTTGTAGGGGAGACGGCTGCTCGGGTCGCCTGCACTACGTGAATATGCTATAAATTCGTCACTAGATATGTGCCGGACATGAAAGCTTGTACATTGTGCGATGACTTGGGATTTCTGTAGGAGACAGAGGTTTTCTTTGGTATACTATACCGCAATTTACGACGCCACGTCACAAGTTATTAGTTGGTGGTCTGTCGGCTCGTGGCCGAGTAGTCTGCGCGCCTGGTTTGCAATCATAAGGTCACCGGTTCGAATCCGAGTGGGGGTGGGCGTTCTCGTGGTATACTCAGCCCGCGCGCGACTGGTGATGGTCGCGTGGCAGCGAAGCGCCGTTACGGCGTACAGCTGACACATTTTATTTTTTAGTCGGTGGTCTGTGGGGCTTACTTTTCGGAAAAAGTGGATCATTTGCATTGTTTTCTAACATACTATAACCAAATTACAACTCGTATTTCTGCATGATTTTTAACTACCATTGTGATCCCTAATTGACCAAAAAAACGGTCTTGCCGGTGAGCGGATGCAGATTCGGTTAGATGTGTTAACTTAGCGGAACCTTCAATATATTGGAATATGTTTAGAACCGACTGTGATTTCATGATTTCAGAAGGTTTTGTATACAAATCGGTTTTGGTAGAGTTTTATTGTGGCAACGTTTCTCCCTTGACACAAGAGCTTCTTCAGGCCAGGTGAATTGGTACAAAATTGGCGTATCCAATGGTTCATGTTTAGCGGAACCTTGTTTGTCGACATTCTGTGAGGTCAACGTAAAGTTTTCCCATGATGTGCTGTGTTAGGCTACGTATTTTTGCGCCACTTTTGCAGTTAGCTTGTTGCTCTCTCATTGCCGAGTCTTGATGCACTGTGAAAAATACGGTTCGACTTTTTCATAGGCACTCTTGTTTTTCTTGTGGCACTTTCAAGCAACTCCTCGCAGAACTCCCCTGTCACTTCCGAATTAGACCAGCTTTTCGTTACCTTGTGGGCCAGCTTATTGGTTCCTAGCTGCTTACATGTCGGATGCCTCGAACAAAACTCATTTTTCAGAACTGATATGGACAGAGTATCAATTGCCTCCAAGCGCACTGTTATTTCCTGTTTCTTTCACCCTTCTCTTTTACTGCTCATCTCTGTTATCACTCCTGACTTCATCGAAGTTGATCGGTTACACTTGCACATAGAGGTAGTGGGGTATCTTGTCTCGAAATATTGTGATCAAAATTTTTAGCTATTGTGGGATACCTTGTTTTTCTTCAAGATAGTGCCATCCCGTTGTATTGTGACATAGGTCACTGAAAATCTTTTCTTTCTTTAGGATCTAAGTGTTCCCATTAGTATAAATCTTTCACGCACTGTGTTTAGTGAACCCTATTCTCTGTCTTTCTTCGTAGCTAGCTTCCCCCTCCAGACAAGACATCAATGCTGTGGCCACAGTAGACCCAGCCGGTCAAGTCATTATTGCTGCTGGAGATGATACAAATATTCGCGTGAGTGTGCTGTCCCGGAGGGAAATTTCGGTGCCACTTTTTCTCATGCAATTCTTTCCTCACATATCACGATGGAAACATAATTTTTACCATCTTTTTTCACATTACGCGTCGCTCTCTAGTTAGATTTACCTTATTGTGCTTTCTCTGCAATATCTCCCATATCATCAGCAACCGCCAGGTAAAGTAGAGTGACTCAGTCTACCGTTATCGGCGTTTCCGTGAAATGCAACATGATTTTGTTCAAAGTTTGTGTAGCAGTTGCAGTAACATAATACTACCGAACAAATGGAAAATAATAAAAATTTGCCTTGTGGGCTGAATTATTCTGTTGCGAGCAGTTCCGTGTGTTTAGCCCAATAAGCTAGCCAAAAACACATCCAGTTTGCAGATAAGCTTTCTTATTCGTCCCGTGCAAACTCACCGACACGAAGTCTCGCTGTTACGGGCAGCCCGGTTTCCCTTGACACTAACATTTTACCTGTGTTGTATCCTACAAGTACAGGTGTCCCAGTGTGTGAATGTCTGTACTGAAGAAACGTGGAAAGTACAATGAAAGAAAAATTAAGAGGATAAACAGAGTTTAGCTTCTGTAAATCAACGGCAGGCCAAACCACGTGAAGCTCAGAAAATCCTGGCTCTGCCAGAGCGACCTTCAGTGATCCAACTCTCCAGATGCGCTACGATCATGACATGGAGCATGTACAGAGCCTAATTGATAGGCTCCTCGACGTGCGTGAGCACGGGTTGAAAGTGAGGCAAGGTACTTGATTTGAAAAGAAGGGTGATCGAAAAACTCGGCCTATGTAAACCACTTTTGTGGACGAAGCCAGTCCTATGGTGATCTTGTCCCGTCTAAATAGACTGAAATGTTTGTAGGTCCATGTTCGCCCAGACCTAGATCCGGACTGAGCCTACAAAATGGCGATGGGGAAACAAATCTCTGTATCGTAAATTTTATGGTCGTTCCCAAGATTCCACTAAACAGGATAAACAGGTTGCTTACACTTCAAGCGCCTCCGGGGGTTCCTGCTACCGTTCGCGTGTGAACAAGCGCGATGAATTCTGTCGTTTCATCGCATCTTAGCGGCCAGACATAGTGGGACTCGCAGAGACAAGGTTGAATTCTGAGGTGTTTGCCCAGGAAGTCGAGCTCAGTGGCTACTCATGTTTCCGCTGCGATGGACTCTCGACTGCCCGCTGTGGCGTCTTGCTCTAAATCCGGTCTTTTCTGTGTGGAAGACTTGTGAGCTCTACGGAAGCGACGATAGCTTGTGTGAGCAGCTGTGGTGCTCGATCCAGCTCAGGCGCGGAGAGCTGTTTGCTGGCGCATTTTATCGCAGTACCCGTAGTCGTTGTTAACTAGCTGCCGCATTTCCGAAGTCACATGGGTCGTCCCCATTTTTTACTCACGAGTGATTTCGATTGTCCCAGAGTACGTTGGCCTGAAGTTTAACTCATGCTCAGACATTGTGAGATCGAAACAAAGTTCGCTGATTTAGTAATTAGAAATGGCGCAGCGTAGCACTTATGACAGTCGACCCGTATAACGCCGCACTGAACTCTGTCATGCCTAGCTTTGAGGTCAACAAGCTGGGAACAACATGGTGTTCAGGTCCTAGAGCCTATAACAGCAGACGACCACTCAATGCTCGTATTCCCGTCCGCTAGAGCTAGCTTACAACTACTGGGAAACAGACTTTGACGGTCTAACTCGAGCCGCGAGCCATATGGATTGGTCTCTCCCGCAAGCTACATCTGTCATAAAAGAAGCAGTGACATTGTTGTGTTCTCAGTTTGTGCCACCGAAGTGTCAGAAAGTTGGGCCAACCAAGCCGCATTGGTTTGACAACGAGTATGGTAAAATAGCTCGGCCTGGGCGCAGATTGTGGGACAAATTTCTCCGACTGCAAGGCCAATAAGAGGCAATGAAATTTCATGCAACCTGTTCCCTTGAGAAATTACAACATAGCAAGAACAACCAGCATTTCGCAAGATAGACTGGATTCAGTTTCTTCCGTGTATTCTCTATCAATCGCTTATCAACAATGTGAGGAATATTTGAGTGCATGTGACATGGAATCAATAAGGCAGTCAACTTGAACCTGGGGCGATCGGGGTCATCGCTTCCAGTGGCTGATCCTATGCCTTACCATGGCAAGGCTAAGTTGGACACGAGGTCAACTTGCTTGCACAAGTTGGGCTTCAGCTGCCGGATTGCAGAAGCCTCGGCAAACCGGAGCAGTGTTGGTCTGTTCTGCCTACTGACGACCTTGAACGAGTTACGGGGGTCTTGACACTCATTGCAATCGAGTAGGTGTCGAGCAATAAAGTTGGCAGGTAGCTTAGGGCTGCTCATCGCTAGGCCTCGCGGAACGTGCGCCATAATGCTTCTAGATGACCTCTCAGTCCGACCAATGTACATGCTACCGCACGTACAAAGGACACTTTTATCCGTTGGTGGAGTTACATCCAAACGAAGACGTAGTGATACTAAGACCTGACAAAAAATCTGGCGTCGTCCTAATACGTAAACAGCACTACGTTCCATATATGCAAACTTTACTTCAACTAAAGACTAGATTCGTTCCAGATCTAACAGGGCGCAATAGAACTAAAAAAGGTGAGAAGTCCCTAGTTCGTGGACTGTGAACACTACACAAAGAGGGGTTACTTGACCCAGGAACCATGCTGCAACTCAGCCCTGGTAGCTCGAAACTCCCGCGCATGCACGAGTTACCGAAGATTCATAAAGATGGGTCCCATTGCGCCCCATTATGTCGATGGTTGGTGCGCCACACCAGAAGTTAACACCGTGGTTGCCCAAAGTTATTGAGCCTATCAGATCTGAGTTGTCTGTGCACAGCTTGAAAGACACATTCGAATTCGTAGACAAGATTCAGAACCTAAATGTGAATAACGAATATATGTTATCTTTCGACGAATGTTCTGTGTTCACAAGTGTCCCTCTTTAGGCGACATTGAATATCATAGGTACACATGCGAGCAACGTGGGTTTTCCAGCACACCAAGGATGTTCAAATTAGCTTTGATGGTAACCTCTACCGGCAACTCGGAGACGTAGCGATGGGCAGCCCGCTTGGACTTGTTCTAGCACGGAAGGTAGAGAGCATGTTCGAAGAATTAAACCAATCGTATCCAGAGATCAGTTTAAACATGAAAAGAATGGGGTGAGATGTCTCACTTCCTGGATGTTTCCTTAAAGTGAAGACCAGCTGGATCAGTAATACGGTCGAATTATCACAAACCCAGCTGAACAGGGCAGTATCTAAACTTTAACGGTTACTGCCCGATCCTTGGTTCGCACCTGCTTCACGAGAGCGAGCCGAATCTGTTCCGAAGAGTCAATCACAAGTGAACTGTAGCCTGTTGTATCAACACTACTCGATAATGAGTAGTCTAGTAAATTTATGCCACGGTAGGGGGAGTAAAATCTCCGAAAGATAAAACGACCTGATGTTCTCAACAAGGTGTTCATCACCTTACTTTACAAAGCCAAACAAACTGCCACCGACTACGGCAATCCATAAAGAAGTGTTATTACGCAGCTGAGCTAGTGCTACTGCATCAAACCAGAAACTTGCTGCACCAATCCAACCTAGATGAAACCCCCTCAAGTCACCAAATTAACTGTACGTGCAGTAGCATGTACGTTGGTCGGACCGAGAGGTTATCTACGAGGATTATGGAGCATGTTCCGCGAGGCCTAGCGAGGAGCGGTCCTAGGCTACCTGCCAGCTCTATTGCTCGACACCTACTCAACTTTTAGTTCTCTGTCGTGAATAACTTGTTCAACAGGCCACTGTCCGAAAGTTCTTTGACGATCGATTGGCAATACTCAGTGCTCCGAAAGACGGTTACCTCAGTAAAATGGACAACTACAGGCTGATTTGCTTATTATTAATTATTATGCACCATAACTGGATGTGGAAAACTCAGCTAATGTGCCACGATACATAAGAAAGGAAAAAATAACTACAGGTGCACGTCAGCTGAGTTACCAGCCGGCTACTATGCAGCAAAAATATTATTATTCAAAATTTGTATCGTGCTAAGAAATGAGTTTGCGGTTGAAGGGGAGGCTAAGGGGGATGGGGAGGGACAAAGATTTATTTGGTGCCAGTTTTTGCCAAGGTTGTCGAGAAGATCGTGAACTAAGGTCTACTGTAGCTGCTCTAATCAAAAGATATATTGATGCTCGCACAGCACGTTTTATGCTGGGCAACTCATGCATTACCAACGTAGTGACGCATGAATCATTGCAAGCAGTGAACCAGGGGACATCTGTCGACATAATTCGCGTCGATTTTAGCAAAGCGTTCGACAGAATCATGAGCGCGTGCGGTGTTAGTGGCTCACTGCACCAGTGGGTCCAGGACTTTCTTGTTGGGCGAAAGCGGCTGGGGTACAGGTCGATGGCCATCTAACTGACTGGCATCCCTCTACCAGTGGAGTACCCCAAGGCACGGTGCTAGAGCCCACTCTCTTCCTAATCTACCTCGGAGATCTGCCTCAGCATCTTCGATCGCCGTGTTCCCTGTTTCTGGATGACCTGAAGATTTGGACAGTGATTAACACCCCAGACGACTGCGGTCTACCTTAGCAAGACCTCAGGCGCATCCACGTGTGGTCCACAGCGGTCCGCCTCACAATTGACCCTAGCAAGTCGGTATACATGAGCCTGGGAAAACATGGTGGTGGCCGAACCTACACCATTGACGGCCGACTGTTACATCCCTCATTTACCCTGAAAAACCTGGGCCTACTATCGCGCTGCGACTTAAAGTCCATGGATAACACGAACCGACTGTGTG